ATATATATATATATATATATATATATATATATATATATGTAAATTATTTTACTTATTTATTTTTTGACCACGCTGCACAGTATGTGGGATCTTAGTTCTTCAACCAGGGATCAAACCCTCTCACCCTGCAGTGGAAGCGTGGAGTCTTAACCATTGGACTGCCAGGGAAGTCCCAGTTCTTTGACTATCATTTTAGTAATTTCTCTGAAGGGAAAGATATTTCCCTTCAGAGAAAACTCCACTTATTTCTCAGCTTTGAGAGGCAATCTTCAGTTATTATTTTCCACAAAACTTTTTTTAAACCTTCGTTTTTTACTTTAATAATTAGAACTAATATTTAAGAACTTCAGAAGTAAACAAAGTGTAACAGTATCCCACCCTTCAGACAACCTGCCCCATTAACATTTTGGAATATTTCTGATCACTTTATGGAAATTTTTTTTCTTTACATAGTTAAAAATTTTACTGTATATCTGCAATTTCATGGTTCAAGGTATTTTTGCATCCCATGTCAAGCATTTCCCTGTGTCATTAAAAATCTTTATAATATATACATGTGTTTTACAACAGAGTCTTTATGAGCTCAATATTTACTGAAATTTATTATAGTTTAACTATTATAATATTTGGGCATTTTGGTTTTATATATATGTTTGTAGGATAAATATAACTGTAAAGTGTCTAATTTATTGAAAGGTAGGCACTTTTATACAAATAAGAATCAGTAAGAATTTATATTTTCCTTTAAAATGATTTATTGTGTGTTTCTTTCATATAGTAGGTTTCTGGGAATTGCAAAATTTAGTTGCTGACAAGATTTTTTTTTTTTAACTTCTATTTTTTTCTAGCAGGAATATAGTTGTGCTCTTATTTGCATGATAAATTAGCTTAGGTGGTAAAGATCTTTGTTTGTTTTCTTTTACAGAAATGTGGCTTGGTTTTGAGCTGGAAGAGAGTACAAGGCGCGTCTGGAAAACTTCAAGGTAGGTAAATTTTTCCTAATTTATTGAGATCATCTTAACCTGTGTGCATAAGTACATTTGCATTTACTCTCATTGTCCTTAACCATAGGAGTGTTTTACTAGCACTCTGTCTTCACTCTTTAATAGGATTAAAGGCATTTGGGAAGATGTTGGCTGAGAGTTGAGATGAGAAAGTAGAAAAGGATAACGTGAAGGAGGTAGGAGAGGGAAAAAAATTATTCAGACTAACTGGTTTCTTATAAGATAACTTTAAGAAGTCCTTTTTGTTTCAGAGCAGGAGTGTATGATCAAGATGGAACAATTAGGACTTAGGAAGAAAGTAGGAGAAGAGATGATGAGATAACCTCTTAGTTTTGAAAGCAAACTGTTCTTTTCATACTAGTTGGTAGAGACACCTGTTTTTTGGGGGGTTTTTTTGTGGTACGCAGGCCTCTCACTGTTGTGGCCTCTCCCGTTGCGGAGCACACGCTCCAGACGCGCAGGCTCAGCAGCCATGGCTCACGGGCCTAGCCGCTCCGGGGCACGAACCCGTGTCCCCTGCATCGGCAGGCGGACTCTCAACCACTGCGCCACCAGGGAAGCCCCATTTCCCCTGTTTTTGTTTTCTCTTTTTTCTTTTGGTTGTTTGAGGGTACTAAAAATGAAATCCGTATCAAAGGTAATTGCAGGAAAGGGAGGAGTGACAAAATAAATAATCCCTGTATTATAATGTTTGGTCTGTAATGATTTCAGTTTTTCATAAATATTTTTCATCTTTCATAATTGTATTGATATTTCACTAATTTTTTACATCCATTGCTAGCCTTTGGATTCTGTGAGTATAAGGAGCCTGAATCAACCCTCCGTGCTCTCAGGTTATTGCATGACCTGCAGATTGGAGAGAAGAAGCTACTTGTTAAAGTTGATGCAAAGACAAAGGCACAACTGGATGAATGGAAAGCAAAGAAGAAAGCTTCTAATGGGGTATGTTTTTTATAGCATTGTCTTCTCTAGGCCAGCTTTGCTCTTTCAGTGTAAATACGTCTCATTATAAAAAATCTAATACGGGGCTTCACAAGATCATCAAGAGGGTGTTTTTATAGTTTATAGTTACTTTAAGTCTTTTATCTACCCATAGTGGGTGGATGACTGTTGGTTTGCTTGTTCCAGGTTGGGATGAAGGTAGTAAGGGAGGCTGGACAAGGTTAACTTGCCAGAGAAAACACTGGTACAGACTATTCCAAACAGAGCTAATTCATTAAGGCAGCTTTTAAGTAAGTACAAAATATATTTCAACCTACGAAATTTTTATTAGTTGCCCTCTCGTTTAGAAGTACACAGGTTCTAAAATGAATGAAAATAAGTCTTATTGCTGTCATCTGGTGGTGGCTCTATTAAGTGAAGCTAAAGTAAAGGAAATTTTTGTATGTTGTGTTGTAATGTATACATTATTATTCCCTCTCAACAAAAGCAAAAAGCTAAAACCTGAATGTATATTTCCTTGTTTTCCCTTCCTAGTTCCTTTTGACACGTCAAGCTGAACAGATCTAAAATAGATTGATTATTACCTTTCTGTCTCTACAAAAACAAAACAGCCTTTTTGCTCTCTTCAGGCTTTTCACTATCATTCAAAGTAGAAATAGGTTTCTTGGTTCCACCACTCCCTCCTTTACAAAAACATTGTAAAAAAAATTCATAAAAATAGAACAACCTATAAAGAAGACGTTAAGTATCAACCGTAATTCTATCATCATTAGTAAGCACTGCAGACATTTTTGTTGCATATTCTTCCAGGCATTTTTCTCTGTATGGGTGAGTATAGTTTTAATTGGAATATGTGAGTTTATTTTCCTTTTATAAATGAAGGATTGAATTCTGAAGTATTGTTTTGTAAACAGCTTTTTTTTCACTTAATCTTGTCTTTCTTTGGATTTTTAATAGTATTTTAACTGATTTATCTACATTGTTTTCTTCTCATCTGCCTGTTACAGTACTGCCCTATATTTCTAAAACATAAGTATAATTATGTCAGCCCCCTGCTCATGCATCCTAATGGTTTTGAATTTCTCACAGTGTAAAGCCCATATTCTTAGCATGGCATCCAAGGCTTGCTCCAGTCTACCTTTCTAGCTTTCTCCATCAATTCCCTTCATGTGTCAGTCATGTATCCCTACAAACTCCTTTGTGCTTTGATGTCCTTGTTGCTCATCCAAGCTCCCTGTTGAAATTCTATCCATGTAGTTAAAATGTTGCTTGATTCATATAGCTGACATCAGTCCTAGATTCCTCTCAGGCAGAAGTAAATCCTCTCTTCTCATATAAAACAGGATTTTACTGTTGTTACATTAGTCTGCTTTGTAGTATGTATTGTTTGTATCGCTCTCTCACAGCTCCTTGTACCCTGTTTCGTTCCCGTATCCCGCATTCTCTGATTATAAGATAGACAGGACAATAAATTCACAGACTATGTTTTTTCATCTTGTACCTCCACAGAACCTGGGTTAAGGTCTTGCTCATAACAAGAATGGGGAGAGCATTTATTATAACAGTTGCAGTTATGTTGCTCACCTGGTAATCTTACTGTCTTTCCCTAGCTTTAAAAGGAAGTAACACAATTTACACTCCAGAGAAATTGTATTTTATCTCATATGAGCACTGTTGCCTGTCATACCAGTAAAACCTTAAAAAAGCCAACTGTCTGCAACAAGACTTCTTAGATTTTCCTTGCTGTGATAACTGAATTCTTTTTTAAAATAAAGTATGCATTCAGTGTCTTCAAAGTTTTTTATATAATTCCCTGGATTCATTGTTTTACTGAGCTTGAAATTTAGCTTGTGAGGCGGTTTAAGTGGTGGCATTTGCAGATGGTGTTCTCTGAGCATGAAGTAAATCTGTATAGTTATGTAATAAATAAGGAAATGTATAATCATGTGACTTTATCTTGTAATCACCATTAATAAGAGGAATCACAATTGAAATCTGTTTATATTTTTCTTCAAGAATGGAATTGAAGCCACCTCCAATAAAAACAGAACGGTTATTTCAGATAAAATGAAATTTAAAAAATTAACAGACATGACTTCTGGGTGTGTTTGGCATGGCCCAGAGGTACTTAAAGTCATTAGACAAACATGGTATATTTTCTTGGAGTGTTGATCTTACTCAACAATACTGGTAAAATGAAAATGTTGAGCAATTCTGTCAGTTAAAATTTTTTTTCAAACAGCTTAAGCAAATATAAGTATATTGTGGAGTAGATTGCAGGTTTGTCATGATTTTTCAGGGTAAGATGTGAAAGTATACTTGTTCTTTCTCTTTTATTGTCAATTTATTGGAGAAATTTAGAAAATAGTGACTTAAAGTAGGTGACATGAGAATGAGACATTGAGAAACTTGTATGCTACCTATCCAGACATTTTCCTGATTCCCAGACAGAAGAAAAAATACTATTAGTTGTATAGTTCTCCGATTGAAAAAGAACCACGAGTTTGGCTAGAAAGAGAGATTTTTCCTGACCCAGAATTTTAAGAGGCATTATATGCCTTGAGTAGTAGCTTGATTAAAAGCTTTTATTTGGATTTTGCAGAATTTGTAGAAGCAACTTTTATGACCTTTAGTAAAAGTGTTTCGTTTGGGGCAGCCACGCTGATCTAGTCCTTGTCCTGTTGCTTTCTGGTTGTTCAGCAGTAGCGGTATAGGAGTAGAGATATTTGCTTGATCGTCACAGATAGTGCTTGTTAATCACACATTCAAGAATGAACTCTGCCAAGTGGTGGAAGTACAAATAATCTTTGGAAAGAGCTGCTTGCTTTACATTTTAATTGAGGACAGATCAGATACTGCAGGTAGGAACATCTTCACATCTTTGCCTGGAAATTAGTCTGGTTGAATCTACATTTTCTCAAAAGAAAGAACTGCATTTGCTTAGTTCCCAAAGAAGTTCTTGTTTTGAACTCTAGGAGGTCAGTGCCAAAGAGTGAGTCTAGTAGAGCTGCTTTCTAACTCTCCAGCTAGCAGCTTTACTATGGAAATTTTTAATTCCTCTGAAAAGAGCCAAATAGGTGGGCCATGTAAACATCTCAGATATTCAGTTGATTTCTTTGATCCTCTTGTACTTCCAAACCCTTCACTTTTTGCTGCTCAGTATTACTGAATGTGCTTTCTGTTTCTGAAGTGGAAGAAAAAACCGGAAATCGGGAAACTGTGTGTGGTTCAGGACCCAGAGGTAGAGTTTAAGTTGAAACTAAAAATAACTTTTCCTTCCATGGTATATATTGCTACTTTTGTTTTTCTTACATTAACAATTGGTTAAGAGATTTGGGCTCATAAGCTTTCCTTCTAAAAATGTACATTTTCTCTATAGATCAAGGGGCAGTAGTCATTTGTAAGGTGGTGTGAACTAGTTCATTCCAAATGCTTTACTTCTAATTTAGGTAAGACCAGCTATACTAATATTTAAGTTTTGGTTTAGGATGATGGTGGTAGGGAATTTAGGGGCTATGAGTATTTTTAGTTGAGTAAGCCTTTGGATTTATAACCCCACCTCAATCCTTATGCTTAAAAAAAGCATGGAGATGTAGAGGGTTCATGGAAAGAAATTTAGAATGTAGGGAAAATGCTGAAGACAGACTGGATGTTCCCTCATGAGGTATATTTTCATAATAAAGAATTTAGGTCTCAACAGCTGAGTATTTGGGTTGAAATAGCCATATGTATCTCAGGACCTACGGTTTCAGTGACAAGTTACTGGTGGTTTAAGTCTTTCATTTAAAACTTTTGGAGAAGCAGAGTATCACTGAAGGGATTTTAGTGAAAGCTGCATAAAGACCTTATTGTGATATGTTATTGATTTAGAATAAGAAAGGAACACATCACCACAATTTTAGTTTACAATATTCTTGGTAAATAATGTAAACAATTTAATTACAGTCCTTGGTTAAAGCATCTCTTCTTTATCCCAGATGCCAAGTAGAAAGTTGGTTACAAGAATATTAGATGAAGAGGCAGGTTTGAGAAAGTAAAGAGTGGTTAGTTTTATAATATCACATTTAATGCCTTAACGTGAAAGTTGTCTCTATCATAATCTTCTCTTACCCTGTATTGTTAAATGCTTAACGGCAAGTTATTTTTTTAATTTTTAATTTTGTACCATCTAACATAGTATCTTGCATAGGGTAGGCTCTTAAGAGTTTGTTGAGCAAATTTAAGAAATAAATTTCTTAAATAAATAAACTAAGATCCCATATGCACGGCATATGGGATCTTAGTTCCCCGATCAGGGATCAAACCCTCGCTCCCTACAGTGGAAGTGCAGAGTCTTAACCACTGGACCTCCAGGGAAGTCGCTGTTTTTGTTTATTTTAAATGGTGGCTACCATAGTGTACATAAAATTGTATTTTGCTTTTTTCATGTAATAAAGTTTTCAACTTTGAATGAGTTATTCAGTAAACATCATTAGTCTGTGCAGGTATTGAGCAAGACAATCTGAAAAATTGTGAAAGCTTTGCAGATGTGTAGTACGCTAGCCCTGTGATTTCAGTCTTTCTGTAGCTGGTTAGGGGTCAGAATGTTAACTATCAAGGGTAGAAAGGAAAAGAAAATCGTAAAGTGCAGTGTATCGAAGGAAAAAACAATAAAACAAATGAAGTTTAGTTTTGTGAAGTTAGGAATAAATCCAAATCTGCATTTAATAGGACTGCAGAGATGTTTGGGAGAAAACATGTTTGTTTTGTGTACTAACTTGTTTTAGAATGATTTTGATTTTCTTGTTTGATTTTCCCCTTCCTTCTCCTGAATCTGCCTTGTTTTTTTTAAGAATGCCAGGCCAGAAACTGTCACTAATGATGACGAAGAAGCCTTAGATGAAGAAACAAAGAGAAGAGATCAGATGATCAAAGGGGCCATTGAAGTTTTAATACGGGAATACTCCAGTGAGCTCAATGCCCCCTCGCAAGAATCTGACTCTCACCCCAGGAAGAAGAAGAAGGAAAAGAAGGAGGACGTATGTGTTACTGATTTCTGACAACAGAGTCATTCCTACAGTTTACCTTTTGTACTGTCACTCTTGTGCTTTCATTATTTCCAACTTCTGAGGGGAAAGTAGAATGACTAGCGTTTTTAACAATATACTGTTAAGGCTAATTTGACCATGTTTTACCAACTAACTTCCTAATTTTTTTTTACCACAATGTTCCTGTTTCGCATGTTTGAAATGCAGTGACATGGAAGCTTGTGCATATTTGTGGATTCATTAAGTAAGGGGGAAAAAAAAACCCCAGACTTGAGTGATGAATAGGAACTGATATTAAGGGACAAAGTAAGATTTTTTTTCCCCTTTTGTCACAAAGGGGTTGGCCTTGTTTTGCCTTACTCCCTTATTATTTTTCTTCTGTCTCTACTCCAAGCGGGATACCAGGTCTCATTCAGTGAGGATTTTGACCCATTTTCAAATTTTTAGCCACCTTTCCTTATAAGCCACGTCTCATTTCCTTCCATGGACAGTAGTGCTATTGGCCTTATAACTGGAGTACTATGAAAGAACATCATGAGATGAAACACTCCTCCCCAGTGTATTATATCATCACCTACTTTTGTCATCCTAAGCTAATTGAACAATAGGGAGTCCAGGTTGAGAGAAAATGTTTGGTTTTCTTATATTCATTTAATTTGAATATACTTAGAGAAATTATAGGGAGTGTTCTTTAAAAATATTGGAAGTGTATTATATGAATGGATTGTATATGCCCTGGAAAAGTAGTACTATGAAACATATATTGTGATTTAATATCAAGGGGTAGTTATAGTTCATACTATTTTGCATTTTATTGCCTTATTAGTCCATCTTCAGTTTTCTTCGTGGCCAGATACATCAGATGCATTTTCTTTTTTATATATAAATTTATTTATTACTTATTTTTGGCTGCATTGGGTCTTTGTTGTTGCGTGCGGCTTTCTCTAGTTGCGTCAAGTGGGGGCTACTCTTCGTTGTGCAGCTCAGGCTCTAGGTGCACAGGCTTCAGTACTTGTGGCTCGTGGGCTCTAGAGCACAGGCTCAGTAGTTGTGGTGCACGGGCTTAGTTGCTCCATGGCATGTGGGATTTTCCCGGACCAGGGCTCGAACCCGTGTCCCCTGCATTGGCAGGCGGATTCCCAACCACTGCGCCACCAGGGAAGCCCCAGATACATTTTTATTACTTGGCTTGTTCTTCCTCATGGGGCCATAAGAACCTGTCTAGTGAACTGCCAATCACTGGGAATGGTAATTGGTAAGAGTCAGTCAGGTATAGGGTAATTAAGACCTGTAGGGTTTGTTCTTCCTCTTCCCCCATTAATGGTAAAGGAGAAAATAATTTGACATATTTGTTTGATACGGGTTGGGAGGAGAGAATCCAAGAAATTCTGCTCTATGGCAGGAATTATGGGTAAATTTTGTTGTTATGATTGTTTCCTCTGTCTTGGAAGGAATCAAGGAAGAAGCACTGCTAGTGCGAGACCCTCCTTATTCCACTGGTTGGGGGTGTTGGCGGGAGAGGAAGTGGTGGGTCATGGGAGGGGTTATAGAGTGAGTGAAATCTTTTTTATTATCAAGTAATTTGAAATCAAGAAAATGTTACAGAAATCTTGCTTACAGTATAAACATACAGAAAATTGTTTTTCAGAGTAATATGAACGCTTATTTGTTTGTTTTAATCTTTGTGGATTTTTCCGCAGATTTTTCGCAGATTTCCAGTGGCCCCACTGATCCCTTATCCACTCATCACTAAGGTTAGTTTACATTATAGACTTTGGCAATAACTTACGTTTACTGCTAATTGCCAGATTTGTGATTCTTGTCTAACTCTTTACTATTTAACTTAGATTGTTGGATTTGTTACTACATAAGTTTTTTATTTACTCCTGTCTTTTGTAAAACCTGTACAGAAAAAAAAACCTGTACAGAGCATCTAACCTTTAATTTCTGTCTATCAGTGTAGATTGATCGTTATGCATTCCCACCTGTCCCCCTTGTCTTTTAGGAGGATATAAATGCTATAGAAATGGAAGAAGACAAAAGAGACCTGATATCCCGAGAGATCAGCAAATTCAGAGACACACACAAGGTAGTATTCTTGTTTTTTCACTTGATACCAATCTAGACTTTTTACAGAATCCAAAGCAAACAGACAAAAAAAGAAAAATCAACCTTACAGTAGAATATAATTTTAAATGCTTTTTATATAGGTTTAATTGATATTTAGATAGAAACAAAGAAACAGAAGACCATTACCATATTAGTGTTGTCCTTGGCATATTGTACGTAGCTTTTTCAGTTACTGACTACTCTGCAGTCATCTCACTTTAATATGAATAAAAGCTAGTTTTATTTTTAGATTTCAACATAAACATCAAGGTCAGATTTAAACTAGATTCAAGGGGGCAGCAGAATAACATACACTGTAGTGTATTTCTGGGGGCAGTTATTTAACTTAATCTTAGGAAAACCTTTTCTTTAGAGCTGAGATTAAAATTTAAGATTATATTTGTATAGATTTGAGAGGGGGAGATTTTAAAAAGTAGGTCAGTGGTTACCAGACTTACCAAATTTTAGATGCATGGAAGAACTGTAAATTCCCATAAAGCTAATCTATTCATTGACCCCCACCATTATGATAGAGATCATATGGTGACTAATGCAAGATGAAACTCTCAGCTTGGAAAGTAACAAGGAATAGGATGTAAGTATGAGCTTCTGTTTTTTATTATATTTATGGATGCCCCCTCAGAAAAATATGCAAAGGGGTAACTGGCTTGGAAACGGGTATTTGTTCATAGTAAATCCCACTCACGAGTTTTGCCTATTGAAAGCTTCTCTCAATGACAGTGCATCTGTGAATGTTCCCTGGTGTTGAAGGTGATGCTTATGGACGGTGAAATGCAGACACTGCGTGAAATGTATTTTGATGTTAGAGATAATAAGATGTTACTGGTTCTTTCCTAAGATTGAGTGACCTTTAACTCAGTGAGATGTTAAGTGTTCATTTTTTCTTTTATTTAATCTTACTTTTTCTTATAGCTTTCGAAATCCCATGTTAACAATTAATGCCATCGAATCGATGCTGCTGAACACATTATTATCATGATGCCGAGCCCTAGCTCACATACACAGGGCCTTTTCAGGAATTAAGTATGTCTAAAAGCACAACTGTAGTTCTCCCAGATTAATTTTGAGAGTTAAAAAGTTAGTCCATGGGAAGTCATTTTAGAGGAATGCTTTTGGTTAGGTTCAGTACTCAAAATTTTCTGAGCAAGCTTGAAAATGGTATACAGTGTGTGTGTGGTTTACCCCCTTTTATTTGTTAAATCCTGTCATGTCATTGGTAAAGTATAAGGAAATCATGTTTCAAAAAATTAATTCAAAAGGTAATTGCTTCAGAGTTTGAGAAGCTGTCAGGCCTTTGACTGCCTTACACGTATTTCACTGTGGGGAGAATGTTTTGAATTTCCAAAATGTGTTTTAAAAATAAAAATCAAAGTGAAAAAGAAAAACAGTTTTTTTTATCGGGGGGTATGGTTAAAGGGGATATTTGAAACTTCGGTAACAAAAATTGAGCTCAGTGAACCTTTGCATGTTTTGGTATGAGTTTATTAAATAACCACAGACTGTCAGGGTATCAGCGTGGCAGGGGGCGTCCATTTACAGCACGGACGAGTCTGAAGAGAGAATAAGGTAAGATTTATGATTTTTTTTTTCTGTCCTTTCCTCTTCATTATTTCACTACTTTCTTATGTCTTTTTAGACCACCTCATTTCCTCCTTCTCCAGTCTTTGTCTTAAAAAATATATACGTGTGTGTGTATCTATTTACTGCATACATAATCTAATATAATCTTTTAGAATTGCATTTAATATGGACAAGATTCACTCACTTTTTCATTTACTTAGAACAAAACTTTTGAAATGAGTTCTGAAACAAATCATTTACATAAGTGGAACTATACATTTAAGAAATAAGTAGTGTAGTGAATAGGCAAGCATAAAACAATTGAGGGACTCTACAAAAGAAATTATTATTGGAACAGCTAAAATAATCTGTAAGTATTTATTATCTCAGAAATAAACAAATTTCTTATAAGTGTATGACACTGAGGTAAGTTTTATGTAGTCTAGCCTCATTTTACAATACACATTTTTTTATTCCATTATAGTACTGTTTCAAAAATTAGAATTTACCCCTTTAAATAGTTTTCAGTTTCTGTCCTCTTTTTGCCATTTCTTTTCTCTTCCCTTTGTAATTTCAATGTATTCAGTATTGGCTTGGCCTGCGTTCCATTTTGATATAAGACTGGCACCACAGCTGAATATATTGATTTCTCATGCATTAGCTTTTCTTTCGTAATCTTCTATCAGTTCTCTGATCCATGAGCAAGAGAAAGAGAGTATAACAGGTAAGATTGCTTTTTAAAGTTGTTTTAAATGCTTTACATGACTGAGAAAAGAAAAAAATGCACATTTTATTGTTGTCATTTAAATTTCATTTCGGTGACACTAAACATGGAACCAAAGGAAAAATGTTTTGTTTTTGTTTTTCCTGTTTGGGGTATTTTTTTTTCTGAGTTTGTGTAGAAACCGTGTGGTGCACTGGTAATCTTGTCAGGGTACAAACTTGGTCTGAATGTTATTTGGTTTATTTGTGAACCATGTACTTGCTCTTCCTCCCAGAAGCATAGCTTGTAGGCAAGGTTAATCCAGTGTTGGCGATCCATGTCCTAGCACAGCATCTGTAAGTTAATACGCAATCGTTCCTTCCAAGGATGGATTTATCACTGTTAATGTATTTTCATTGTCTTATAGGCATAATGGGCATAAATATGTTGCTTTTAACATTAAACCAAAAATTAATTAAATAAAAATATTATGATTATGCACATTTTTTGCTTGAAGCAAGTGATTTTCAAACTTTTTGTATTTGGTGGGCTGTCCATCTTGTAATGGTGGGAGTAAATGTTTCCATAGGTGATAGGGTAGATATTGGCTGAATTCAGCTTGTCTTTTGGAGGGTGGGCAAACCAGAGGGCAGAAGATTATTTAGTTGCATTCCAGTGACCTGACTCTCTTCCCCCACCTCCCCTTTAAAACACTCAACTAATAATCGTTAGGTAATGGGAAGTCTGGGGTTATAGTAGCAGCAGTAGTCCCACTGATTTAAAGAAATTCATAATGGGAAGAATTACATTGTAGCCAAGTGATTGTATTTCTAGAAATTATTATGAACCATCACACTCCTCATGGTCATTTTAGTTACTACATAATCATTGAGTGGTCAGCCACACTTGACACAATCTCCCAGCATCCAAGATTGGAGATTCCTGGTCTGTTTAGAGTGTATGGTTTTGCACGAAATCTATCTAGGCTTGTGATTGCTTCAGTTTTATTTGTTAAGTAAAACCACAAGTATTTAATATTGAAGTACCAGTGGTTTGGGTTTGTTTTTTTTTTTTTTTTTTTTTGGTCGTTCCCAATATTGGGCTTTGCGCCGGGAAAAGTCTCAATACTGGAGCTATAGAGTTAACTCTAAAAGTACTTTTATTGGTTTCTAGAAACTGGAAGAAGAGAAAGGCAAAAAGGAAAAAGAAAGACAGGAAATTGAGAAAGAACGGAGAGAAAGAGAGAGGGAGCGTGAAAGGGAACGAGAAAGGCGAGAACGGGAACGAGAAAGGGAAAGAGAACGTGAACGAGAAAAGGAGAAGGAACGGGAGCGGGAACGAGAACGGGATAGGGATCGTGACCGGACAAAAGAGAGAGATCGAGATCGGGATCGAGAGAGAGATCGGGACCGTGATCGAGAAAGGAGTTCAGATCGGAATAAGGATCGCAGTCGATCAAGGTAAGGCTTCATGGAAGTTACTGTATGCTTGATAGCTTTAATAGAACTGCAGGTTAGTACTCTTCTTGGGCCATTTGCATGGATGTAGTGATAGAACTTCCTGAGACACAAAGCATACCTGGCTTGCTGTCTCACACACATGTAAAATATTGGTTAAGGGCTTCCCTGGTGGTGCAGTGTATAAGAATCTGCCTCCCAGTGCAGGGGACACAGGTTCGATCCCTGGTCCGGGAAGATCCCACATGCCGCGGAGCAACTAAGCCTGTGTGCCACAACTACTGAGCCTGCACTCTAGAGCCCGTGAGCCACAACTGCTGAAGCCCGCGTGCCTAGAGCCCGTGCTCCGCAATAAGAGAAGCCACCGCAATGAGAAGCCCGCGCACCGCAATGAAGAGTAGCCCCCACTCACCGCAACTAGAGAAAGCCTGCACACAGCAACGAAGACCCAACACAGCCAAAAGTAAATAAACTAAAAAAAAAGAAAAATATATTGGTTAAATTAACAATTTTCAACTTCAGTGTTAGTTTCGGTCTGAAGCCAGTTTTTATACAGAACCAGCACACACCAGCCGTCCACCCAGTGTTTTGAATAGACATGATTCCTTGTTCTCTCACTTGGTCAGTGGGCATTTTCTCTAGTCACTGTTTGATTGAGGTCCCCTCTAGTGGGAAATCGGCTCTAGTACCACTGCTTTTAGCTCCTGGTGTCTGTTTGGTCCTATAGCCCACTGCGTGGCCACAACTTAACTTCTCAGGCTCTAAGTTTACTGTTTCTTTATGGCTTCTAGTAATTTATTTCACTTTGGTTTGGTTTGGTTTTATGTAAATTTTTTCATAATTATACTGAATTCATATGACATATCTCAAATTCTTTAGGAATGAGGTAGAGCAAAAGTGAACAAAGGAAGTGGAGAAGGGCATAAGTAGAAGGAAGCCAGTAGACGGAGGGAAGAGAGGAAATCCCACCTTTTTTTTTCCCAAGCTAGTTTTCAAATATACATTACTGGGTTGAGATATTATTCTACCTGATTATAGCTGAAGGGAGGTCCACCGGTTGCTGGAACTGGAATTCAGGACTCTTATTATCTTTAGTGGGCATTAAAATCCTTCCCTTCCTTCTTCCACTGGAATAACCATTATTCTCTTGAATAACCACTATTGAGAATTTGACATGTATTAAAATGAGTGGTTTTATACTTTCACTACAGTGTATTGTTTCATATCATATATATACATAAATTTGTATAATTATATCCATGGTATCACAAATCTGCAGTTTGGTTTTATCACTCTGAATTAAATACTTGAGAACTTTTTATTACTGATAGATGTACAGTTGACCCTTGAACAATGCTGAGGTTGGGGTGCCGACCCTCTGTGCAGGCAAAAATTCGAGTATAACTTATAGTTGGCCCTCTGTATACACGGTTTTCCATATCTGCGGTTCTTCGTCCATGGATTCAACCAATTGTGGATTTGACCTACCTCAGATTGTGTAGTACTGTAGTATTTACTATTGAGAAAACTCTGTATAAGTGGACCTGCACAATGCAAACTCATGTTGTTCAAGAGTCAGCTGTAGTTCTAGTTTACCCATGCAACATGCCAGAATGCTCTTTGCTTCTCATCTTTGCCAATATCTGTATTCCTTGATTACTAGTGAAGTAGACTATCTTGTAACATGTTCGTTGGCCCTTAGTATTTCTCATATCTAGGTTTTTTTGTTTGTTTTCTGAGATGCTGATAAGCGTTAACGTTGAGTTTAGAAAGCAGTTCAGAATTTGGGGCCAGGATTATATTCTACGTCTTTCTGACTTGTAAAGAGGAGTTTACAATTCTGCAGAAACCAAATGCTAAATTCTGGCTAGTGAGTTTATATATTATTTCATAACATATGTTGTCCGACTTTCTCTTGGGTTTAAACGAAAACACAAAGACTGACCGATTTTTTAAATCTTTTGTTTATGTAGAGAAAAGAGCAGAGATCGTGAAAGGGAACGGGAGAGGGAAAGAGAGAGAGAGAGAGAACGGGAACGAGAAAGAGAACGAGAGCGAGAGAGAGAGCGAGAAAGGGAACGGGAGCGCGAGAGAGAAAAAGACAAGAAGCGGGACAGAGAAGAGGATGAGGAAGATGCATATGAACGAAGAAAACTTGAAAGAAAGCTCCGAGAGAAAGAGGCTGCTTATCAAGAGGTAAATTGAGGGAAAGCTTTTATTCTTAAATCTTGGTACTTAGTAGGTTAGTCAAAAATTTTAGAACCCTTTGTATACATTTTTAAGCTTTGACAATTTTTTTTTTAGCGCCTTAAGAATTGGGAAATCAGAGAACGAAAGAAAACCCGGGAGTATGAGAAAGAGGCTGAAAGAGAAGAAGAAAGAAGAAGAGAAATGGTAATTTTCTTGGTTAAAAATAAGTGATTTTTCAGATAAAAATCAGATCAAATCTTTATTGTTAAGTAGAAGTGACGTCATAGTTAAAAAGTATGAGCTCCCAGTATAGATAATTTTTATATATTTCAAGTAGCTTTGGGACAATTTCAGTACACGAAAATGTTTTTCCCTCCTATTTTTCACGTTTTTGCTCCCTATAAACTAAATTACCATTTGGCATACTGTCAAAGTAAATCTGTCATAGTATAAAATGAGAACTTATAGACCTTTCTTTGATTAAGAATCTGCAGTATTTTTGAATTTCAAGAGGCTTTTAAGAGGCTTTGATATTCTGTATTAGTCTAGTACATTTGGATGAAGGAAATAGTCTCATGAGAAGACCTGTTTTTAGAAATCAAAATTATTGACTTCAGTATATAGTGCTTATAAATTATTGTTTTTCCTTATGTTACTACATTATCCTTCCTTTTAACTCCATGATAATCATAAAAATGAATGTTGTTTTTTTTTCATTTACACTGTTTGATAGACTGTAACAGTGAAAGCAATTGGCCAAGGTTGTTACCTAAGTAAAATGACAAAAAGATAATTTATTTTATCATAGTACTTGCTTCAGTATTATGTTCCATATGTTCTATCATTGCCAGAAGTTCGTGAAGATTTCTTTATCTCCAGTTTGGAGATTATTCTTCCAAAAACATTACTGAAGTTAGGAATCTTCTTCAAATAGCTTTTGAACATGAGACATAGAGGAAATTTTTGTAAGTAACCAAAAGAGTGCATGCAGCAACTAGATAGTATAGTTTTCTGGATGGTAGGTCTTCTAAGGTCCTACAGTTATTTAAAATAATTTGATTTCCCTGGATTGTAGCTCCCATTCTAGAATTTCTTCTTAAACCGTAGGTTAGAAAATAGAGAATAATATAGTAAGAGACATAAAATTATTTGAAGAAGTGATTCTGCTTCCTGCAAGCAAATCTGAAACCTGTTTTTCTAGAGAAAAATTTCCTATTAGTTATCTTTTGCTTGGGAGCTTAAAAAAATATCCAGCAGTTAGAAAAGCAGTTACTTGCTCATTAAAAAATGTTCAAGTAGCAGAAGTGTATAATGTAAAAAGTCACCTCATGAAAGGTGACTTATGTTAATACTTTAGTACGTACATTATGGGCCTTCCTCTGTGTGTGTGTGTGTGTGTGTGTGTGTGTGTGTGTGTGTATTTATTTATTTATTTGGCTGCATTTGTTTTCGTTGCTGCATGCGGGCTTTCTCTAGTTTGTCGAGTGGGGACTACTCTTCGCTGTGATGCGCGGGCTTCTCATTGGGGTGGCTTCTCTTGTTGCAGAGCACGGGCTCTAGGCACATGGGCTTCAGTAGTTGCGGCATGTGGACTCGGTAGTTGCGGCTCATGGGCTCTAGAGCGCAGGCTCAGTAATTGTGGCGCACGGGCTTAGTTGCTCCGTGGCATGTGGGATCTTCCCAGACCAGGGTTCGAACCTGTGTGCCCTGTATTGGCAGGCAGGTTCTTCTTAACCACTGCCCCACCAGGGAAGTCCCCTGTGTTTTATTTAGATATTTGTAAATATTGTCATCGCTACCTGACAATCTACTTGAATGCATTTGACAGATTTTGTGCTAGGTACTGGGTGTACAAGAATAACTAATGCTTCAAACTCTTAAACAATTGGGTGGTATTGTCAGAGAGATGAACTGGTTGCTGTATTGTGTGTGTGAGTGTTTAAGGTATGATAATGGTGTGTTCACAGTATTTTGGGAGTGGAGTACAGAGAAAGTGATTAATTTTGTCTGGGGGAAGGAGTTGGTCATGGATAGATGGTTATATTGGGGAAGTCTTTAGAAAGGTGTAACGTTTGAACTGGATGAAATGTGTTAATATTTTACTGTAGTCATAAACCTACATCTGCTTTGTATATAATATTGTTGGTATAGTAGATAGAGATGTAGATTATAAATACTCACTTTAAAGTATTTTTTATGTCTGTATATTAGATATAATTAGATATAATTTCTGTGAAATATAATAGTTGTTGTATTTAAAATTCCAAAAATAGGAATAAGAGATTCATGTACTTTCATGGTTTGTTTACTCAAAGTTAGGCAGGCATTACCTTTCGATTGATGCATAAAGGTGATTTAAATTTTTAATCCTGCAATTCATAAAAACTACTTGTATCATCATCTACCTATAAACGAAACATAAAATATTTTTGTCCAGTTAACAGATTCAATAAGATAACTTTCAGTTTTCTTTCTTGGTGTGCTTAGGTTTCATTAGAAAAAAATTACTGTACTTTGAAGTGTATCTTCATAGAGAAAATTTATTGTAGCATACCATCAGTATATGTGGCTTTCATTTCATGGATAAGCCCTAAATCTGACTTGCTTTTAAGAGTAAAAGATTTTAAAAATCTAATGTTACTTACATTTAATATATAAGTTTATGAGAATGAAAAAGTTCAAGTGGTATGGATAAGAAAAATCTATTCCCAAGAAAGGGCGAGGGGGTAATCTAAATTAATTTTATGTTAATTTTGCACACTTTGTCCTTCATTTCCTCAAAGGCAAAAGAAGCTAAACGACTAAAAGAATTCTTAGAAGATTATGATGATGATAGAGATGATCCCAAATATTACAGGTAAAGAAGCCTTGCTTTATGAACTCATACTGTCAGCTTTTTATTAGCTGTATTTTCTCTTGTCTACAAGAGAGTGCAAGTTCACTCAGTGGAGTAAGAAAGAAATCTTTGAATTCATCTTGTAATTATCCCCATAGTTGATAATGCTGTTTTCCGGGGGTCCGGGCATGTTATAAAAGAATTGACAATTCTATGCACCTTCTTTGGAGGAAGGTTCATAATAGTATTGTGACAAATTAACTTTTCTTCCTGTGTTTTATTTTTTATTTATTTATTTATTAAAATGTGTGTTTGTTTATTTATTTTGACTGCACTGGGTCTTAGTTGTGGCATGCAGAATCTTTAGTTGCGGCATGCAGGCTCTTAGTTGCTGCATGCATGCGGGATCTAGTTCCCCAACCAGGGATTGAACCCTGGCCCCCTGTATTGGGAGTGCGGAGTCTTACCCTCTGGACCACCAGGAAAGTCCCTCATGTGTTTTAAAGAACTTCAGTTTTTATAGCAAATTATAACTTGCCTTTATGACTATCTAAGGTGGCCTAGAAATTTTTGTCTTCAAGAATTTCTAGAGTGCTACATAGTAATCTGAACACCCTCCCGCCCTCCTTCACCCAATTGCTATACTATTATGAAGTGAGAGTTGTGAAGCCTGCATTTCCTGATATCTGTTCCCGTGGCATTTCTAAACTGTTCTCATTCTTCTAACATTTATGGCACTTTGGTAAAATTGTTTGCTTTGTTCTGCTCCCTCCACTCCAAACTATAATTTCCCTAAGGTTATGAAGAATATTTTGATTTTTTTCTCATGTGCCTGGCATGATACAGTCATGTAGTGAATGCATTTAATATATATAATTTAATACACTGTAGCTGAAATAATCAAAACATTGGATTAACACTTTAAATTGAATGAATGCCAAGGATTTGACTTTGTAGAAAATGCAAAGTAAAATTATTGAATCATAGATTAGCAGTACATTCTGAGATATAATAAAGTGCTAAATAGAACCTCTGCTTTCTCTTGATTATGCCCTGCTGCTTCTGTTAATTTTTTTTTTTTCCCCACAAGGAAAGGAGTTGATTTAAATTGAAGGTACAAAACTAATATTTGGGATATTACTACTCCTTGTATTAATTTTTCACAACTTGGCCTCCAAGACAACACAGATTACTTGTTAGTTTCCCTGTGGAATAGGTATAAAATGAGAGCATTCTTCCCTCTGAAAGCTACTTTTTTACTTGTAGATACTCATTTAGAGTGACTTAAGAATGAGGCATGGTGATAACGTGACAAGACAGTGCTGACTTAGTAAACATTAACATGCAGAGAGTACACTGTCTTGGGTGTTCTACAGATATAGAGCATTAAGACAGTCTTCAGTCTCTTAGCATGCAGCTGTTAGTATGGAAAGAACTTGCTTTTGGAGACATTATGTGTAGTAGTTTAGACCTGAGTATTAAATAAGGCCTGTTATTTACTTTTGCAGAGGAAGCGCTCTTCAGAAAAGGTTGCGTGATAGGGAAAAGGAAATGGAAGCAGATGAACGGGATAGGAAGAGAGAGAAGGAAGAGCTAGAGGAAATCAGGCAGCGCCTTTTGGCAGAAGGGCACCCGGATCCAGATGCAGAGCTCCAGAGGGTAAGATACTATGACATCCATAACAATATTCTTTTAAGGCTATCATGTCATCTTAAGCCAGCCAACTATGATATGGTTTAGTTTATAAGGGAAATGTTTACACTCCATGCATCTTGCTATTTTGGGGGGAGGATATTAGTATTTTTTTCTTTATTTTATTATGTAAGTCATCAATATTAGTTGATTTACAGCTTTATTTTCAACATCTTCTATATGTCTTACTCCTTTATTTCTGTGAAGTATTACTTATTAAGTGAATGTCTTTTAATGTAACTTTGCTAGAAACTGTCCTTCTTATATATGCTCTGACACTTAATGACTTTCGTAGTTTGAATTCTCTCATTACCGCCCTAAATATTTTATTTCCAAAATAAAGATGTTTTCATGAACAGCTTGTCATTTAAAAATGAAAAAGACTGTCATAGGACATGGCATACCCATTCTTGCTTTTAAGAATAGTGTCATGTTAGAAAAGTTTTTAGTTCTTAGTGTATCACAGATCTTAATACTATAAATTCTTCATATCAACTTTAAAAAATCTGTTATATGCTATTAACAGGAACCATGTCTTCTTACATGTCCCTTTTATTCTTCAAAATAAAATAGTGTTATTTTTTTCTGTTAAGTACTTACATAAGTAAATAGAAAGTTCAGACAACATAGAACACAGTAATGAAGAAATTAAAAACTGGCTGATTTCTTATAACCCCCCTCACACATAAGTTTTATAAGTGGGAATATTGTTACGTGCACTTTTTTTCTAATGTGCTTTTCATTTTTAGATTTTTACTCAAGTATAGTTGACATACAGTATTATATTAGTTTCAAGTGTACAACAGTGATTTGACATGTGTATACATTATGAATTGATCACCACGATAAGTCTAGTAACCATCTGTCACCATACCAAGTTATTAAAACAATATTGACTATATTCCCTATGCTGTATGTTACATTCCCCATGAGTTATTTTATAACTGGAAGTTGGTACCTCTTTTTTTTTTTTTTTTAAAGATGTTGGGGGTAGGAGTTTTAGTAATTTATTTATTTATTTTTGCTGTGTTGGGTCTTCGTTTCTGTGCGAGGGTTTTCTCTAGTTGTGGCAAGCAGGGGCCACTCTTCATCGCGGTGCGCGGGCCTCTCATTATCGCGGCCTCTCTTGTTGCGGAGCACAGGCTCCAGACGCGTAGGCTCAGTAGTTGTGGCTCACGGGCTTAGTTGCTCCGCGGCATGTGGGATCCTCCCAGACGAGGGCTCGAACCCGTGTCCCCTGCATTAGCAGGCAGATTATCAACCACTGCGCAACCAGGGAAGCCTGGAAGTTTGTACCTCTTAATCCCCTTCACGTTTTTGCCCTACCCCCCATCCTGCTCCCCTCTGGTGACCACCAACTTGTTCTCTGTATGAGTCTGTTTTGTTTTCTAATGTGCTTTTACTTCAGGTATAATCTTCCACCAAGAATTTCTCCAGTTTATAGTCCAGGTGTCTTTTTTTTCATCATCATGGTAGTATTGTCAGTGTTTTAAATCCTTGCCATTATAACATTTAGGTTGGGGAATATTACTTTGGTTTTTTTTCTTTTTTTCTTTTTTTTTTTTTTGCGTTACGCGGGCCTCTCACTGTTGTGGCCACTCCCGTTGCGGAGCACAGGCTCCGGACGCGCAGGCTCGGCGGCCATGGCTCACGGGCCCAGCCGCTCCGCGGCATGTGGGATCTTCCCAGACCGGGGCACGAACCTGTGTCCCCTGTATCGGCAGGCGAACTCTCAACCACTGCGCCACCAGGGAAGCCCAATATTACTATGTTTTAATTCTCTGATTACCAGTGGGTTTGAATGCCTTGCAGATGGTTTAATGGTCATTGTACTTCCTTTGTGAGTTGATAAATGGTGTTATGCACAGATTTTAAATTTTTGTGTAGTTCAGGATACGTACTTTTACTTTTGTTTTTCCTGTGTTTGTTTCATGCTCAGAAAACTTGCTGATGTATTCATCCCAGTTTATAATGCTCTTATGATGTTTATTTTTTATTATATTTTGTAATTTCAGGGGGAGTGTTCATTTTGGTTTAGGAGTTTGACTTCAGAATTCTCCCTCCCGCCACTTCTTCCTTTTCCTGTTTGTGAATACAGAAGTGACTACCACCTTCAGCCATTACCAAGAAATAAAAAATGATTATCTATGACCAGGCTGAGGATTTGAGTTGCCTCTTGTGTATTGTGTATACTATTGGGTTCTATTGGGTTGGCCAAAAAGTGCCTTTGGTTTTTAAGTAAAGTAAAAGACACATTTTTCATTTTCACCAAGAACTTTACTGAACAACGTATTCACCCTTTTGTTCGACCTACCTTCTGCCATTTTTCAGGCAACTTCATAATTCCATCTTCCCGAAACTTTTTATCTTTTTGAGCAAAGAACTGTTCCAGGTGCTTTTTACAGTCTTCCAGGGAATTGAAATTTTTTCCATTAAGAGAATTTTGTAGAGACTGAAATAAATGGAAATCCAAAGGTGCAATATCTGGTGAATACGGGGAATGAATCAGAACATCCCAGCCAAGCTGTAACGGTTTTTGCCTGGTCATCAAAGGAACATGCAGTCTTGCGTTATCCTGATGGAAGATTATGCATTTTCTGTTGACTAATTCTGGACTCTTTTCGTCGAGTGCTGCTTTCAGTTTGTCGAATTGGGATCAGTACTTGTTGGAATTAATCGTTTGATTTTCTGGAAGGGACTCAATATAATAGAAGGCTCCCAACCCCACGATACATACAACATCACCTTCTTTGGATGAAGACTGGCCTTTGGTGTGGTTGGTGGTCGTTTATTTTGCTTGCCCCACCATCTCTTCCGTTCCACATTATTGTACAGTATCCACTTTTCATCCCCCATCACAATATGTTTTAGAAACGGAACATTGTCATTACGTTTAATGAGAGAATCGCATGCAGAAATACGGTTAAGTTTTTTTCGCTTAACTTACGTGGAACCCAAACATCAGAGCGATTCACATAACCAAGCTGGTGCAAATGATTTTCAGCACTTGATTGGGATATTTTGAGTATGTTGGCTATCTCCTGCATGGTTGATTGTTCTCAATGTCTCGATTTGATTGTTATCAGCTTGAACTGGTCTACCCAACCATGGAGCATCGTCCAGCGAGAAATCTCCAGCATGAAACTTTGCTGACCACTTTTGACATGTTCAGTCAGTCACAGCACCTTCTCCATACACGGCACAAATCTTTTTTTGCATTTCGGTTGCGTTTTACCTTTCTTGAAATAATAAAGAGTAATATGCCAAAAATGTTGGGTTTTTCTTCCATCTTCAATATTAAAATGGCTACACAAAAATTCACCAATTTTGATGTCTGTTTTTTAAATGCACGCTGATATGACAGCTGTCACACACAGTCTAACAAAATTGTTTCGAATGAAGTTAAAGACAACTAAGTGCTACTAGAGCCAAAAAAACCGAACGAACCTTTTGGCCAACCCAATAAAATAAAATTTCTGATTATAATTTCTTTAATAACGATATAAAAACATAGTTTTTCATTTTGAATTAGCCAACTATTAGCAATTACCTTTGTTATCTCTGTAGAGTGTATACAGGCCACTGAAGAATGGTAATATATGTGAAATACTAAAAAAACATTTTGCAGAGTACCTAATATATCTATAGATTTAGTTCTGATTATAGAAGGAGGCAGTGTTTTGTTATTCCTAAGGAAGAAGAAAAATAGAGATTTTGTGAAAGATAAAACATAGAGCTGGTTGAATTGAAGATAGTTGGGGTCTGTTTCAGTTGATCAGGTTATTTTCTGGTTTTAGATGGAACAAGAGGCTGAGAGGCGCAGACAACCACAAATAAAGCAAGAACCAGAATCAGAGGAAGAGGAAGAAGAAAAGCAAGAAAAAGAAGAAAAACGAGAGGAACCCATGGAGGAGGAAGAAGAGCCAGAGCAAAAGCCCTGTCTCAAACCAACTCTGAGGCCCATCAGTTCTGCCCCATCTGTTTCCTCTGCCAGTGGCAATGCAACTCCCAACACTCCTGGAGATGAGTCTCCCTGTGGTATTATTATTCCTCATGAAAATTCACCAGATCAACAACAACCTGAGGAGCATAGGCCAAAAATAGGACTGAGTCTTAAACTGGGTATGTTTGCATTTCGTTCCTCCTTTTTCCCTCCTTTCCCCCTCTACCCGCCACAACTACATAAATTTTGCCTTAAGGGAAAAATAAATATGTACTGCTTGGTAGGTAGTTAGAAAACTACTTAAAAAAAAATGCCTTTCTAGCTCATGATTGTTTTCATAGTTCTGCTAGTGCTCCTGTATCTGCAGCTGCCCTGCGTTCTGAGAAGTGAAAAGTTAAATTTTCTAGCGCTTGTGATTAGTGAGTTATTTTTTATAGCTGGCATCTTTCTCTGAGGTTTGTGGAGGTATATTTACAGTGCTTTTTAGGCATGGTGGGTTGTAAAATGTAACATTTGAGAATTAAGTCATTGTGCTAATACAGTGTTTTTACTATAGGTGCTTCCAATAGTCCTGGTCAGCCTAATTCTGTGAAGAGAAAGAAACTCCCTGTAGATAGTGTCTTTAACAAATTTGAGGATGAAGACAGTGATGATGTACCCCGAAAAAGGAAACTGGTTCCCTTGGATTATGGTGAAGATGATAAAAATGCTGCCAAAGGCACTGTGAACACTGAAGAAAAGCGCAAACACATTAAGAGTCTCATTGAAAAAATCCCTACAGCCAAACCTGAGCTCTTTGCTTATCCCCTGGATTGGTCTATTGTGGATTCTGTGAGTAGCAAATTGTATTTCATTATTTTATTGCAAGTTTTTGGTTTTGACTATAGCACACAAACTCAGTTCATTCCGTTTATGACAAATAGGGGTGATAAGGTGGCTAGAATCTTGACATGGTCAATAATAATAGATTATTGTAGAAATTCTTTTGGTACCTGAGGTCTTCATAAATTAGAAGCAAATAATTTCGTCTCGATACTTATCTGTGTTAAGTCAACTTGTTAATGATCATACTGTATTTTAGCCTTAAGAAAAATTATGAAGTTATATAGGTTTTTTAAGTAAATGTAATAAAAAGCTCTTCAATTTAGTAACCATGCTTTATTTTATAGATATTGATGGAACGACGAATTAGACCATGGATTAATAAAAAAATCATAGAATACATAGGTGAAGAAGAAGCTACATTAGTTGATTTTGTTTGTTCTAAGGTTAGTCTTTTACTCTTTCGCCAACGTTTGTTATATACTTCAAAATGTTAGAGACTTTCTAAATTGAAAATTTTTACAGGGCCAAGTCAGTGATAATTTAGTTTTAATTACAAGAGTCATGGCTACTTAAGTGAACCCCTCTATACTATTTCAGACCCCACGCTGCATGCTTTCATTTCAGAGGGTCAGAGAGGACAGAATAGCTGGCTGCTGCCAATTTTGCTCTCTCCCTGCCCCTGAGAATGCTTTGCCACCCCCTTGTCTTAATGGTTAGAATGTTGCTGAAGTACAGTTGAGGTTTTGTGGAGACAGCCAATAGCTTGTCTCAATTCTTTTTCAGTCATCCATCCTTTGGAAAAGAAAGTATAGTGCCCTTCATAGCATAATAGTGGTGTTAACTGCCTGATTACTGTGTGCCAGGCTTCTTTCCCGGGAGGTACGGTGTTAAGCATTTTACAAGACTTCATCTTCTTCAAACCTCCCAACAACCTTAGGAAGTGCAGGTTACTAACAGTATCCCCATTCAATACATGAAGAAATTGAGGCTTAGGGAGAGATCGTGTCTTGACCATGGTTACATGATAAGTAGCCTGTAGAACTCATGCTCTTAACCACCAAGGTATACCACATCCTTTCATTGTCCCCTGAAGACAAAGTATTTCTATAAAGGAATAGCTAATTGCGTTTTAAGGAAATGGTATTTTTCTACCAGTACTGCTCTTTTAACATTAGGCATAGCTAATTTAAGTGACCCTTTCCACTTGTCATTACTGTAGCATAAACACTTATAAGTCTGGATTTGAATTAGAAGACAAATAATGTGATGATTAAGATCCCAGGTTTTAGTGTCAGACTTTTATTGAAAAGAGGGAGATTCTGGGAATTAAGAAATTTATAGAAAGGTTCTAAAGTCACAAGAAATTCTCATACTAGTTTGAGGGCACCTTAAAATTTTTTTTTTTTACTGTATTGCTAATGTTTTATTTATTTTCAAAGTGACAGTTATTTTTTTTCTCTTAGGTTATGGCTCATAGTTCACCTCAGAGCATTTTAGATGATGTTGCCATGGTAAGTTAGAAATTTACTGTTGTTAATATTTTAATTACACAGGGAGATCAGCTCAGTGCGTTGTGACGACCTAGAGGGATGGGATACGGAGGGTGGGAGGGAGGTACAAGAGGGAGGGGGTATGGGGATATATGTATACATATAGCTGATTCACTTTGTTGTACAGCAGAAACTAACACAACATTGTAAAGCATTTATACTCCAATAAAGATGTGAAAAAAAAATTTAAATTAATATCAGTGTGAACAAACTAACTTCTCTGAATTTGATTGAATTTCTCCTTGTGTTGGTTCCAGAATCTTTATGGGCCTGAATTAAAATTTGAACATGCATTAAGAGGTTAAAGGCGTTCATAGTAAGATATTATTAGACAACAGTAGAGTTAGGGTTTTTTTGTTTTTCTTTTTCCTTTGCGGTACGCAGGCCTCTCACTGTTGTGGCCTCTCCCGTTGCGGAGCACAGGCTCCAGACTCACAGGCTCAGCGGCCATGGCTCACGGGCCCAGCCGCTCCGCGGCATGTGGGATCTTCCCGGACCAGGGCACGAACCCGTGTCCCCTGCATCGGCAGGCAGACTCTCAACCACTGCGCCACCAGGGAAGCCCGAGTTAGGTTTTTTTTTATCATTCTCTCCCCTCCCCTGTTTTTGGTGTTTGTGTGTATAAATATAAATTCTGAATCTATTCATAAACTTAGAGACCATTTATGAAGTGTTTACTGGGTAGAGCAATGTGCTAGAAGCACAGAAAGGTGGAATATCTGCCCTTAAAGAACCAGCAGGGAAACAAGTGTACCAATATTGATACTGTAATATCCTTAGTATAATGGGGATATATAAAAATGATCATGGGGGCAGAGGAGATGAGTAGTTAGGTGTTGACGGCAGTTAGGGAAACCATCACAGGAATTACCATGTAAACTGAGACTTGAAGATTGTATTACTCTTTTGTCACTTGGGCAGGTGTCTGTTGGGTTGGCAGTAGTTAAACATCAAATCCCAAATTGCACTTAATTTGGGTATTAGAGTTAGTGGTTGTGGTTGCATTGATTTTGTGAGAAAAGAAAGGAAGAGAATTGATGGTAAAGGTGAGAGAGTGATAGAATGGACTGTGAACTCCAGTCTAGGAAGAAAAGGAAATAATATCAGAACAGAGTTGGCGGTCTGAATGAATCAAAGATTGGTGGTTCCAGTGAAGCTGTGGGAGATGTGTTGGAATGAAATAACTGGAAAGAGAGGTTTAGTTAGAGAGTAGAATGTTTAAGAATACAATTGGTAAATTAATCCAGATGATGGCAAGGTGCAAAGTATGGCCATGGGAGTTTCTGGGGCAGAGTTGATGTCATTGTTTAGAATATTAATGAACTTTAAGCTGGGTTATAACACACAGAAATAGAAATTACTGTGTGTTGGGACTGGGATTGGAGAGAAATACAAGAACCAGCTGCCAGAGCACTCATTTAATGTGGATGAAAGATTAGATATTTGCTAGACAGCTGCTGTTGGAGTGAACCGGTGGTGTAATGAGATCTCGCGAACATCAGTGGAGATATTGTTTACTAGGAGAGAAACAATGAAGATCCAGCAGCTTCCCCTCTCTTGTGGAGACTAAAGCTTTGAAAGTGAGGAGCTTTCTCAGAAGGCCACAGGGGTGTCAGGGTCTTTAGGGGACGTACCACATTTTCAATTAAGGTAAGGAGATGAAAAGTCTAATTAAAGAAGTTGGGATAGCATAAAGTGGAATAGAGTCTAAAGGGCAGAGTGGGAAAGTAGCAACAGGACGAAGAGTCAGAGAGGAAGAAGAAACGTCAAGCATGATGTGAGATGATGGGTGACCAGGGAAACTTTCATTTTGAGCTGCAATTAAAGTTGTCAGGGAGTGCCATAGGAGGGTGCCTAACTAAAAGGAGCTCTAAGGTCAAGATGTTATGTGTCCAAACACTATGTGATGTCTGAAGCCAGATAACATTAGTTTTCTGCTGCCTAGCTAGCCTAATGCATCTGTTGTCTAAAATTCCTGAAAAAATGTTTGTGAAAAGTTTGATGCCATAATTCTGAGCCTCAGATGAAAGGAGAAACGTGAATAGATCCCAGTCCTTTGGGATACAATCTGAACTTCCTTGACCTTCCAGCCTCTTCACAAAGTTATCCTTGAGTGAAGAGAGGGTTTTGTAGTTAGGCCTGAGTTAAGGAATTAAAAAAAAAAAAATCAGGGAATTCCTGGCAGTCCAGTGGTTAGGACTCTACACTTTCATTGCCAAGGGCCCAGGTTGAATACCTGGTGGGGGGACTGAGATCCCACAAGTCATGCGGCCAAAAAACAAAAAAATCAGGGGCTTCCCTGGTGGCGCAGTGGTTGAGAGTCCGCCTGCCGATGCAGGGGACACGGGTTCGTGCCCCGGTCTGGGAAGATCCCACATGCCGCAGAGCGGCTGGGCCCGTGAGCCATGGCCGCTGAGCCTACGCGTCCAGAGCCTTGTGCTCCGCAACGGGAGAGGCCACAGCAGTGAGAGGCCCATGTACCGCAAAAAAAAAAAAAAAAAAAAATCAGTGTTCTGGTTTGTGGCCTTGGCAGAGGTATAATCACTGTTGGTGAAGATGTCATGTGTCACTATTAATCCGTTTGATCTGTTGAAATAGTTTGATATTTAGAGTATAATTAAACTCTACTGCTTATTCGCGTATATTGTTTTTGATTATTTTCTGGCTCATTGTTGATCAGAGTGGGAGGAAACCAATTGAGTTGGTGTTGTCAGCCAGTTCTGGTAATAGCTCATGGACCCTCTAAATATTTCTTGAATAAATGAGATGGAAATTTTAGCTCAAGTAGTATTTTGCTCTTATTAGAAATCTTTTTCAAACTGTACCTTTCCTCATTTTATGTAAGTTAATGAACTTTGGTTGCATTTTTGTACCTGGGTTCAGTTCCTCATTAATTAGTGTTGCAGCGTAGTTCATTTTTTTTTGGCTGTGGGATCTTAGTTCCCTGACCAGGGATTGAATCTGCGCCCTTGGCAGTGAGAACGTGGAGTCCTAACCACTGGACCACGAGGGAATTCCCACAGCAGTTTTTTTTAAACTATGGGTTAAGTCTGGCTCATAGATGTCTTATTTAAGTTCTTTATTTGTCATCACTGAGAAATGTAAGGAAATTTCTCAGGAAAATCCATTTCTGGCTTGTTTTAGGTACTTACTGATTGTAATAATAAGCACTCTTCAAAGCACTTGGTACATATCAACTCTTTTAATTCCCACAGTAGAAGCAGTATGACATAGCTACTATAACCTCTGTCTTACAGATGAGAGAACTGAGGCTGATTGTGATTAAGTAACCCAACCAAGAATACGTAACTAATAAGAGGTAGAAGAGCTATTTGAATCCAAGTAGTCTGGCTAGAGATGTGGTTTGCTTAACTCCTAACCTGGCCTGCTTCTCCAGAGTCTTGGCAGCATTAGGCCAGATGCCGTTATGACGGTGGTACCCTGGAACTCAGTCATTGCTGCCTTCTGTAGAAGGAAACATGCTATTCCAGTTTACTGCACAGCAGCCCTGGTGTAGAGTGCCATGTATGTGTGGGTGATGAGGGCAGGAGTAGTGCAGTGGTGAGGACATGATGCAACTAACTCATACGTAGATAGAAAAAATAACTTGATTTGCCAAGGAGAAAAAAACCTTTTATTTATTCAATAGTCTTGTGTCCCTCGTGATGATAGTGTTCACTTTGTTTACTCTATCCCAGATACTATATTAAAACGCTACACATATATTCTCATTTAATATTTCAGTGTCACTTATGTAATAAGTGCTCAATAAATGTTAAGATTGTGAGGTTCTTGGGGAGGGGTAAATGAGATACTCTGTATTAAGTATTATGTAGTTACATAACCAGTTCTGTCTAAATTACTGTGTTCTTTATAACATTTGCTTTCCTCAGGAAGTAGTTTTTCAAGACATGTATAAATAAATGCTTGTTGGTAGATAAAAGCCTTTTTTATTCCAGTTACCTTGTTGGGAGATGCTTATGATTGCTTCTCTTACGTGTGTGACTGTTTTTTGTCTTGTTCCTTTTTTAGGTACTTGATGAAGAAGCAGAAGTTTTTATAGTCAAGATGTGGAGATTATTGATATATGAAACAGAAGCCAAGAAAATTGGTCTTGTGAAGTAAAATTCTTTTTACATTTAGAGTTCCATTTCAGATTTCTTCTTTCCCACCCTTCACAGGACTTTAATTTTTTTTTTTTTTGTCTTCAAAGACGTTTGTGAGATCTGTAATTTTTTTTTAATGTAGAAAATGTGAATTTTTTTTGTCCTCTAATTTGTTAATGCCATGTGTACTCCCTTGGTTGTAAAGACATCTGAATCCTACCATGGTTCTCTTTATACTCACCAGGTACAAATTACTGGTATGTTTTATAAGCCGCAGCTACTGTACACAGCCTATCTGATATAATTTTGTTCTGCTGATTTGTTCCTTGTAAATATTAAAATGACTCGCCAATTCTTTTGCAGAATTGCACTTAATATTGAACTGTACTGTATAGGCACCAACATGAACAATTTTAAATTGAAAGAATACCAGTCATACCTATTACCCTTACCCCCTTGATCAAAAATGGCAGGCCCTCATGATGGCATGGAATTTAAAATTAGAGTGTGAAAAGTAGCAGACAATCCATTCCTACTGTATCTCTGTATGAATGTGTTTGTGTGAATGTATGTATAAAAGTCTTACTTTTCCCTAATTTGCTTTGGAAGTTTCCCTGAAACATTTCCTAATTGAAGACTAGAATTGTAAAGGAAACATGGTATTGTGCCAACCCAAATGTCTGGGATAATTAGGTTATTAGTCTCCCGGAGTATAGTATTCTCTTGTGGCAAGCAACAGTTTGTTGAACGGAATGGGTTTTTCTGTTGAAAGCTGGCTGCGTCAGCCTCTCTTTTAAGGGAGTGTGAGTCATAGTGGTTTTCCCCCCTGATTTCATTGTTCAGGTATGAGGCAGATCCTTAGATTCTGGAGAGCTTTATTTAATGCATTTTTTGCACTAATTGGTCCTTAGTTTAATTTTGTACCCCTTTGTTTAAAAAAAAAAAGCTTCATTCAAAAAGCTTAAGTGAAAAAAATCTTTTTTAAAAATAAGCAAAATAAAAAATTAGGCAATTTTACAGACTAGGAATGTTTGACAAAATACAATAGGAATTTATCATGGCAATTTACAAAGTTTACATCTTATTTCTGAGGATAAAGTAAATCATTTAAAGCAGTTACCACTAGTTTTTTGTTTTGTAAAGGGTTTCTATCTTGTGTGTGTATATGTAGGCACACACCTTGTTTACCTCTGCTTATCAAAGTTTAAAAACATACTGATGGTGTTCTTAGAGACATACATGGGGCTTTCTTTATGGTAGATCAGAAATTCACCAGGGAGCAAAATTACCTGAAAATGTAACAAGTTTTAAATAGTTCTTAACAGAAATTAGGTGCAGCTATTCCTGTGTCTGAGTATTTATTTTTTAAAAAGATTGGGTGGGGGAGGGGGTGTTAAAAACATAAAAAGCATAAACTGAGCTTGAGTTACTAGATTTTTTTTAATCTTAAGAGGACATTTGAAAACACTGTTCTTAACATTGGACCATGACATGGTTCCATTATGTAAATATTTCAAATATTAAAAATGTATATATTTGATCTTGGGGACTCATTCTTTCAGAGTCTTGTTAAATAAATGGCATCATGTTGTAATTATGCGGTGCATACTAGAAACTTAACTTGAAAATATGGGCTGAATGTTTGACGGACTCAGTTTTTGAGTATTAGTAACTAAAAGTCAAAGAGGCCGTTTGCCTTATTTTCGATTAATCTAGACATCTGTGGAGATATTCCCCCCTTTAGTGTTATAATATTTTAAATTGTGGTTTCTGAAGGGAAAATTTTAGAAACATGCTCCTTACCATTTACAAATTCTTTTACTAGCCTTTTCTCAGATTGACCCCCAGCGTGACTCCCTGTTCAAGCAGTTTATTATGCCTCTCTTTTACCATATTATTGCTTCTAAGGCATCATATTAGGTTGTTTTTATTTAGCCAGCATTAGCATGGAAGTTTATTCAGGTAGATTTAATTTTCCTTGCTTGGGTCTCTTCTGCTCTTTCAATTACATTTACCTTAAAAGGGCCCTTGTGTGAAACCCTTGGGGGCACATACCATATACTGCGTAACACTTCCAGTGAGATTTGTGTCAGGATCCCAAATTTATACGTTAACACTTTTGCAGCAAAACAGGAATGATCACAGTCAGTGGGTTAAAAGACCTACTACATTTACTACATTAATAGTTTAATGTCAGTTCAAGTCAGATTTTGCCACAAAGGTTAAACTTCAAGGTTTTCAGAGTTCTTATTTTTCAGGTTTGTATATAAAGAACTGGACATGTATAAGCTGGCATATTGTAGTGTCAGGAAGAATACACATAAGAAAATTTTTACTAAATTGCTTGAACTTTCTGGGTTGTCTTTACCATTTGTCCATAGGTTAATTTCAACTTGGAAACCTTAGTTTAATCCATATTGCCCGTTCAGGTTGTTATAAAATTAGTTGAAAGTCTTGACAACCATTCTTGATGTGGCAGTTAGGAGGAAACCAATGTGCTTTTTCCTCATTTGACCCTGTAAATAAAATAATTTCAAATGTGTATATCTGTGTACAGGAAGAAAATGGTTTTTCTCAAACTTTAACATGCAACTGAATCACCTGGGGGAATCTTGTTAAAATGCAGACTTAGGGCTAGAGTGGGCCTAAGAGTTTGCCTTTCTCACCAGCTACCACATGTTGCCAGTGCTAAGTGATCCAAGAACTGCTTTGATTAGAAGATTAAAGTGTCTACTCAGTACTAGTATTTTATCCTAATAGATTGCACTAATGCAGCTTAATTTTCTTTTTAAGTTCATTTTAAGGAGAAAAACGTTTTTTGAGGCAAATAAAGAGGTAGGTATTATTTGTTTATGAACATGAAGTAGTCTTCCAAAAAGGTTGCCTGAGAACAACTCCAATATTCTAGGCTTTATTCCCAGCCAGCCCCAGCACATTTTCTCCTGAGAGAAGTTTATGTTGTTACTCACTCTGAATCTTATCATAGCACTTCCTGATATGTAATAGTAGAGGCCGATGATTATTTTGTGGAGAGTGCAGTTTCAGGTACTAATCAGGCATGGATACTAGATATGGTGGACAAACTGAGAATACAATGAGTTCAAGAGTCAAATTGTACTAAACATTATTAACATTTTTTTCTCCTTTAATATGAAGAAAAAAATTTAATGCAAATAAATGTAAGCAGGTATACAATGTGTATATGAGGCTTATTTACCCAGCTCTTTCAAATAAGTTCTATGAATGTTTCCACTTTCTACCCAAAAACTGCTGAAAGGTTTTATGTCAAAGTGGTTAACACATTTTTCCAAGTCATATTTCAGCCTTCTATTAATATGAAATGGAGAAATTGTTTTGCTTAGCAAAAGATGGTGAAATTGATTTGTGAATACCAGTAGCTAAAGAAAGGTATTAGAACAGGCAAAGAAATAGGCAGTCTAAGTGTCGGGAAGAAAACTAGGGAAATTCACACGTGTAGATTTTAAACCCAGGAATTATTACTATTATATTCATACTATAGACCAAGGTGAGCTTATAATATTTGATAAACTGGTAGATTTTTCGAAATGTGATTATGTTAAATTATTGAAATATTGTTTATTTGCATTTGAATGCTTAATTTTCATCTTTATTTAAAAGATTCTTTGCCTTTCATTTTATTACTTGACTCATACGAAGGCTAAATTAGGATTGGCAATCTGAAATGCCCAGGAAGAAAAGATAATTTCTATAAACAAAAATGAATAAAAATTTTTTTCAAGCCATGTTGTTTGAATTAAATGACGCTCTAAGTCTGCCTACTCTGCCTCATCATGTATTAGTTGGATAGATGACTTTTGGATTCTCTTGCACAGAGTGGTAGCTGAAATATTAAGCCAGGTAACCCATTCGTCTTTTTGTGTATGACTTACATTTGCCATTGAAGCACAATTAATATGTGCCATTCATGTTTTAAGCTAGATGGAGTGATAGACATAAATAAGATCTCTTTAGTAGCTGAGAGTCTAGTGGTGGAGAAAAAAATAATGAGAGGATCACTAATAGATATACAATGTACTATATGAACTGTCAAACTTGATGAGCTAACTTCAAGGTTGAGAGGAAAGGGATAGATAGTAGGAAGCTTGTCAGCAGAGGTAGTAATATGTAGAGGGGACCTTAGAGATCACATAGTCTCTTTCTTTTTTGGCTGCACTGAAGGGCATGCAGGATCTTAGCTTGCACCCTCAGCAGTGAAAGCGCGGAGTCCTAACCACTGGACCGCCAGAGAATTCCCAAGATCACATAGTCTTAACTACTCACTGCAACACTGCTAGTGTTCCTTAGGTAGGATATCTAGAGGCCTGCATATTGGATTCTATCTAATTCATGGTCTAGATCTGCGCTGTCAAGTTTTTTAATTCATTAAAATTAAATTTAAAACTCAGCTCTTCAGTTACACTAGCCATATTTCAAGTGTTCAGAAGTGATGTGTGACTAAATTGGATTTAAAAATCCAGTTTTTTGTTTGCAATATTCGTATTTCAAGTGCTCAATAGCCATATTTAGCTAATGGTTTCCAATATTGGGTAGACATTGCAGATTGAAGAACATTATTTTGACTAAAGAAAGTTACATTGGATAGATATGGTCTAGATGCTAATAGCCACCTAAGAGCAGAGGAAAGTGCTTGTTAATAAAATTCCCTCATAGGAAGCATTTTTAGCAAATCTTTGTTGAGGCAAAAAGTATTGTGAATTTAAAAATTGTTCTAAACAATTTTTCCTGGTTTTTTTTCTCATAACGAAAAACTAGAGAACACTTCACATTGTAGAATCTAGAAACTATGAAGGTTCATTTTTTTCCCGTCAGTTAAAAGATAATGGCAAATATACCCAGGTGAAGAGATTTGGCTAATTGTTAGAGCAGGTGGAAAAGCTAGATATTAAAGTTTCATTTTGAGTATATTCTTGAGACAAATTTTTTTTTAAACGGGCCCCAGGTTCTTTAAGAAGGAAATTAGATTTAATAAAATATTGACAGTCATATAGAACTTAAGACTAAAAATGCAAGATGAGTAAGCTAAAGCCAGCCCTTCATCTTGAGCTGTTCCAAATCTGAGCCAGATCCTTGCAAGGAATGAAAACGATGTGAGAGCTAGTAAGATAGAATATGGTCAAGCACCTAGTCTTGATGACAGTATTATTTTTCATTTTTCAATTCTACTTTACTCCCATAACAAACAGAGCAATGATGTATAAATAAAAGTAAACTGCTTTTATGTGGGAAGTGTTAATAAATTGGATTGCCTTGCTGAATCTATGGTGTAAAGAACTGGCCTTGAATCTTGACTTTATTTACTTGTGACTAGTGACTGCTCTAGCCTCTCTAGAGGCTCGAACAGCCCCTCTCCCCAGGTAGCTCTAACAGGTTCAGCACTGGATTTCCTTGCTGCTTCATCTTTCACTGCTTACTATTGATTTTTGCCACCATTTTTTTCTTTCTTTTTTTTTTTTTTTTTTGGTCATTTATTTCTCCATTCCTGCTCCCAAGTTCCAGACACTTCTGGGGAAAATATAAATACACCACTGCAGATAGTCTGGACCCTCTACTATTTTTCTCATTCTTTTACTGAACTTCACTTCTTAACCACAAACACTGCAGCTTTTATAGTTCTTAAACTTCCAGTGCTGGGACTTCCATGGTGGTCCAATGGTTAAGACTCTGCGCTTCCACTTCAAGGGAAACAGATTGTTTCAGTCCGTGGTCAGGGGACTAAGATCCTGCATGCTGTGCAGCATGGCAAAAAAAAAAACTTCCAGTGCTATCTTAGGTAGGTATGAATGAGTAAAAGTCATTTGATTTTCCCTCTTACTTGGCAAAAACTCTCAAGGTTAACAAAAGCTTAACTTTAAAAGAGTCATTTAGGCATATTCTCTCCAGTTTATGACATGCATCTTGAACCTTTGCTTTCTATAATTAAGGATGGGTACTCCTATCCAGAAGACCTCCCCCACTCATGTTTCTGGTTTGTAACTACAGTTTGCAGTTTCTTGAGCCTTGCTCTGGAGTTTCCATCATCTTCTTTCTTCCTTCAGGCTGGAGTAAGTTTTTAAACAAAACAACCTTAGGTCCTCTCCTTTTCACTACAGTAGAGATTCCACAAAGAGTAGCTTATAGTTATATGTACTCTCCAAAAATTTTTTTTAACATCTTCGTTGGAGTATAATTGCTTTACAATGGTGTGTTAGTTTCTGCTTTATAATGGAGTGAATCAGTTATGCATATGTCCCCACATCTCTTCCCTCTTGCATCTCCCTCCCTCTCACCCTCCCTATCCCACCCCTCTAGGTGGTCACAAAGCACCGAGCTGATCTCCATGTGCTATGCGGCTGCTTCGCACTAGTTATCTGTTTTACATTTGGTAGTGTATATATGTCCATGCCACTCTCTCACTTTATCCCAGCTTACCCTTCCCCCTCCCCGTATCCTCAAGTCCATTCTCTTAGTAGGTCTGCATCTTTACCATCTTGCCCCTAGGTTCTTCTGACCATTTTTTTTTCTTTTTTAGATTCCATATATATGTGTTAGCGTACGGTATTTGTTTTTCTCTTT